AAAAAATTGGAAAACCAGAGAGTCGTGTTTTAGAATTAACAGCAAGTAATTTCAATACAATTGTTGATGATGAAACGAAAAATGTAGTTGTAAAGTTTTATGTTCCTTGGTGTAATATTTGTAAGAGTATTCAATCCAAATATGAACAACTAATTGATATATATAAAAATGAAAAAGATCTTATCATAGCACAAATGGATTGTTCAGAATTACAAAACAAAGTTATTTGTTCTGATAAATTTGGAATTCATGGATATCCAACAATTACATTTTTCCCAAAAGATTTTAAATATGGAAAGGATTTTATGTATGAACATGAAGTTCATATTTATGTTAATAGAATAAATAAAGAATTTAATTATTTCCGTATGGAGAATGGACAATTGAATAAATATGCAGGAAGAATTCCTAAAATTGATAAGTTATTGCAACAAATATCAAATACTAGTCAATTAAAAGAAGTTGAGGACAAAATAAAAAAATTAGATATTCACAACAATTATATGTCAATACTTTCCAAAATATTAACAGAAGGAAAAGACTTTATTTATGAAAAAATTGAGTCTCTTAAAAATAAAATCCAATCAACAATTGGTGAAGAACAAGATAAAGTAATCATAGAATATAATGTCTTAGAACAATTCAAATGAGTAAAAAATAATTTTTTTTTTAAATGGTTTAATTTTTTTATCAAAAAGAAATTATCAAGATTTAAAACAGAAAAAAATGAACAGATCACAACAAATTGAAGAACTTATTCAACAAAATAATAAAGAAAAACTTCAAGAAATATTAAATCAATTACTTGTTGATGTTAAGGATAGGAAAAAATCACAAATACTTTGTCAAGAAAATATTCAACAAACTCTTATTCATCATATTACTGAATTTAAAACAAGAAATTTAGAATTACTAGTAGTTGATATTATTTACAACCTTGTTAAACGTCCTAGTCTTGGACATTATTTTACTCCTGAACTTTCACATGAAATAATTTCAACATCATTATATACTATAAATTTTGATATTCTAAGATCTCTTACTAGAACACCAGAACAATGTGAAGTTATTTCTGATCTTATTCCACAAATTATTGACCATATCCACAATGTTTCATTAATTGAAAATACATTTGTATGTTATTCTATTGCTAATTTATCAAAGAAATATGCAAATCAATTTATTTCTGTGTTTATTGATGGGGTTAATACATTATGTTCATCTGATATTTCAACAATAAAAGAAGAAAATTTATTTGCTCTTGGAGAAGCTTTTATTTCATTGTCTCAAAACTTTACAGATAAAATCAAAATTGCCTCTCAAGTTGATGAAAAATTAGTTTCATTAAAGAATAAATATAAATCAAATGCTATTTTATGTAATATAATAAGAGATATAATCCAATTCTTAACAAAATAACATTTTAAATAATTCAAAATTAAATTTATTCTTGTTTTGATTTAGCACAAACATTTTCATTAGAACTTTTTGTTTCTAGATATTGGTGAATTGCCTCTTGTTGAGCTAATTGTTCAATACATGAAATTACAAAATAAATAATAATTAAACTAATCATTCCATTCCAAAGATAACTAATTAATGGTTTAGGCTTTTCAATATCAACATTTGTGAATTGTTCTGCAGTTTGATCAAGAAGGTCATTAACAATAATAGCTAATTTAATACTAATATGTTTCAAAAATGAAACAAATAAATCAAGATGTTCTCTACTAAATATTGTGATAAAGAAGATTGCTTGAAGATTAACTTTAATAAATGCTTTACCAATAATTGTTCCTCCAAGAAATGTTTGAAGTGGAACTAAATTATAACCACAACACATTCCACATAAATCAAATGCTGCATTTGGCCATGCTGAAAGTGCAACAATAGCCCATACTCCATATTTATTAACCATATCAATCATTATTAATTGCATCCATTGAATACTTTTAGAAATAATATTTGTTGGTTTTTCTTCTTTTAAATGTAATATTTCTCTATTTTCTTTTCCTGCCATAGCACTTGTATATGCTAAGAAATATGGTGGAATTTCACCAAATGCTGTTCCTACTCCCCAAATAAAACATGGTAAAAATACTCGAAGAAATATTTGGACAAATGATGGATTTGTTTGTGTTTCATCAATAATTGTTAAACATTTAAAACTATTTGAATTAAACCAAATATCACTATATGATGTAAAATTCATTGAATGACATGCAGATGCAGCTAAACATACATTGAGAATATGTGGGAAAAGGAATAATAATCCAGTATGCATTCCTGTTCCTAAACCTACAGAAGAAAGTACACCTAATCCAAACCACCAAAGAATATATTTGATTATGAAATTTGTTGTTAATAAATAAGAATGTAAAAATGGTGGTGTAAAAATTGACAATATTATATGAAGAACTAAAACTGATAAAATAATAAGAATTAGAGTTGAATGAATAACATAATTATATAATGTTTTTATTTGACGAAGAATATAATAATAAAAAAATTTTAATGTATCAATAGGATGAGAAAATAATTTTAATGAAGTTGCTGATTCTAAACTCATAATAAATATGATTTTAAGATTCGTTTATAAGAAAAAAAAAAATTAAAAAAAAGAAAAATTAAAAAAAAAAGAAAAGAACAAAAAAAACTTTTAGTTCACAGTCAATGGTTTGATTTATTAATTTCTTTTAAATATACTAATTCTCATTGAATATAGGGAAACGAAATTGTTAAAACATTAGGAAAAGACACTGTGAAAAAACTTAAACAAATGGGAGTATTAACTAATAAAGGAGAATTTGAAAAACAAGTTGATCAAATTCCACTTATTAAAAGACTATGGGATCCAGAAACTGGAAATAAAGAACTTGTTTTACCTAAAGGAACACTTTATGAATTATTTTGTAGTTATTGTTTACCATTTCTGTTTTATAAACAAATAATTCTTGTTAACAGAGTTTGTTTTTATTTAACTAAACTTTATTATTTAATAAAACATAAACAATTTAATATTATAGGATTTATTAATGAAACATACTGATATGGTTACAACAAAACTTGAAACAATTCAATTATCAATGCCAAAATCAGTTGATACAATGCGTAAATTGCAAATTGAAATGCCAAAACAATTACAACTTACAATGAATTCAGTTGAAACACTTAAAAAAAGAGTTGAAATAATAAAAGAAAATATAAATAAACTTGAACAATTTAATGAAAAATTACTTAAGATAATTAATCCACCAAGTACAACGTCATCACTATCACTTATGTAATTGATGTTTTAAAAAAAAAAAACTAATTTATCCTTTATTTCTTTCTGAATAATTTTGTCTTTACAAAAAATAATTTAAATCTTTTTAACCCTCTTTCATTTCAAAATGACAAAGAATAACATTCTCTTATTAACTTTTATTTTCTTCTTCACAAATGCTGAAAGAAGAAAAATAACAACAATTCAAACACCATTAATATTAAATCAACCATATAAAGGAATATGGGTAAAATCAGATGATTTAAGTATAAATTCAACATTAAAAAGTCTTTCATTTTTAACAGAACCAATTGGGACATTTTATTTAACTTCATTAATTGGTATAGAAAAAGATTCAAAAATAAAAATAACTGGAAAGATGTTTATTAGAAATGGATTTTATTTAGACAAAGAAGTTAAAATTCTCAATTTAACTTGTATTGATTTAATATGTCAACTTGAAGGATTTAAAATAAAATTGGATATAAAAGATGGATTAATATATGGAATTGTATCTTATGAACAATTCAAATTTATTGGAAAAACTTTTGTTGGAAAACAATCAAATTTTATTACAGAAATTTATATTGTTATTTCAATTCTTTTATTTATTATTTCTTTTAATCAAATTAAAAAAGTTAGTATTGATGGAATTGCATTACATATTTTAACTATGGGAGATGCTTATAGTACTTTACTTCATGCAACAGCAGCAATTGTTTTTCAACCTAATTCATCATTATTTTATGGATTTGGAATTATTAGTATTCTTTCAATTTATCAAGTTGCTATTATGGGAAGTAAATATTTAGGAAAATATGGTGCAATTGGACAAATTTATATGACTATTAATTTGTTAATTGGATTTTTCTTAGCTGAATATTGGAAATTTGGTTTTATTATCATTATATGTTCACCATGGTTTTTCAATGATAAAAAAACAAATAAAACTCGATTAATTACATTATTTTTAAAGGGATTTATAATGTCATATTGGTTTGGATATTCTGATAATCCAATTAATATTAAAAATGATTGGAGTTGTTTATTTGTTCTTTGGCTCTCTATTACAATTCAATTTAAAATTAATAATAATCATCATAATTTAATATTTAATGAAAATAAAATTCTAATTAAAAGTAAATTACCATGTGATTGTCCAATTTGTTTATGTTTAATTGAAGATTCTAGTGATGTTCTTTTAACAAAATGTAATCATATCTTTCATAAAGAATGTATTCAAGTATGGTTAAAAGAACATAATGATTGTCCATATTGTAGAACATCATTATTAAATTAAAACTGTGAATAAATTAAATTTTAAATTAAATTATGTATTATATTTTTGTTATACAATATATGTTAAATATGATAAATGAAAAAAAAAAAAAATCTATTCCTATAATCATCGAAACTTTATGTACATTTTTGAATCCAATACTGTAATGTACTTGGTGATAATTCTCCAAATTCAGTAGGATAGTTTAATTGTAAAAATCTAGTTGCTTTAGTTAATCCAATTTCTTTAGCTTTACTTACAGCAACTCTTTTTAATTCATTATTCCATTTTTTCTTTAACCTAGATACTCTTGGAATTGGTGTTGTTGACTTTTTAAAACTTATAGGACTAGGACTTTGAATAACAATAGTCTTAGACATTGGACTTGGACAAACAGTTAAATTTAAATTAGTAGATTTTCCATAGATAATAGAATACATTTCTTTTCTACATGGTTTAAACACTGAAATAGACATAATAACTTGATTTTTTAGATTGAATATATGTATTTATAGAGAAGTTTATTGGATAGAAAATGATCTAATTTTTGTCTTTCCTCTTTTAGTTCTTCTCATAAAAAAATTCATATAAAAAAATACTATATTGTCTAACAATTTTTATTATCATTTATTCGTTGAATACTTTGATTACGAATTTTTCATTTTTATTAAATTTATATATTATTAAATAAACTTCGTTTCAGCTCATTCTTCGTTTTTTTTTTTTTTTTTGACTTTCTTTTTGTTTCTTACTATTTCTTCTGAATTTCATTTATTGTTTTTATCCTTTTTTTCTTATTAAAACAGAGAAACTTTGAAAACTTCCTCATTTCTTTTAAAGACCTTTGGACTTTTCTTCGTATCTAAAATCAGTCTAAACGGTGATTTATTTTCTTTATTCAAAAAGTCACTTCAATCCCTCAAAGCTCTTCATTTCCTCTCTTTCTCAGATTTAAAATCATTATTTCTTTACTTCTTAATATTTACTGATCAATCTCCCCCCTCCCTTCAGATTGTCATTTAAAAACAAAACGAAATTTGATAAGATTGTGAAATCTGAAACTAAGATAGAGGTCTCTTAAAGCAAATTAACAATAATCAATATTAGGATTGTGCATACAATAGATGCACTGTTACTTACCTTCATTTTGTTTCTTTCCTTTGGCTATTCTTGTAGTAGTTTGTTTTTATTTTATTCTCTTTTTTTTTTTTTTCTTAACCACTTATTGTTTAGATCACAGGAATAATATATGCTTTATTATTTGGTAGAATGACTGGATTTTATTCTGTTGCTGTTGGGATGTTATTTGTCATATCAGGTTTTTTCGGATTATTTGCTTCTGGATGGAGATCTTACATTTCTTCAATATTCGTTTGTTTTTATTTCTTGTTACTTTTTCATTCCATTTCTCATCAACTAGTTTGCTGTTTCTCTTGCTCTTTCATGTACAATTGCAGTTGCCGTCAATGGAGGTGGACTTGTTCTTCCTCAATACTTTTTTTTGTTGGACTCAGACCAAGATGCTTTAAAAATTGGTGGATTAACACTAAGCCCAAACAATTATTGGTTTGGTGTTGGTTTATTCTATTTAACACTGGTATATATTCCATTATTAAGTTTTGCTGTTTGTAATGCTTGTACCATTGGCAAAGTAATTGAACGAACTAAAAAAAGAAAACGTCGTGAAGAAGAAAAGAAGAAACGCAAAGACGGTTTCTTTATGTACAGGGGAAACACTCTGAAAAACAGAATTCGCCCAGAAGACTTTGGTAGAATTAGGGAGGAATTAAATAAGGCTGTTCATACATCATTACCACCCTCTTCTCCAGTCAAAGAAGTCAAAATCGTTGTTGAGTCATAAATATTCTATTCTTTATTGTTTCATTCAAAAATAACATTACACTTCATTTAAATAAAGTTATATTTAGGTTTGTTACTATTAACTTTTTGAATGACAATAATCAGAGGGAGAAATTCAGTTTCAAGTTATTTTTTAAACCATTCTTAATACTGTTCAAGAAATATTATAGAATAATGAAACTTCTATGAAAGGCTTTCTCTACAATATTTTTAGAAGGTGTCCTTTTATTTATTAAATTTGATATTTAATGATCCAGAAAATTTTATTTTATCTTTATGAATATTCAATTAGTGCTGTTTATGATTTTTTAGTTTAGTCTTTTTGCCTTTCCTTGAGTCATTGTTCATAGTAAATTGTTTAGGAAGAAGACTCATGTAGGAATTATTCTGTTGTAACTTTGGACTATTGATATTGTTAGTCTAGTTTTTGGTAGTTTTAAGTTGGTTTATGGATTGATTTTTGTAGAGTTTTAGTTATTTTCTACACTATATTTAAAACTTTATAAGAATCAATTGAAATATAAAAAGAGACAAGAAGGAGGAATTTTTTAGTTAGATAGGTCCGTGTCATAGAAAATTAAAAAATAAAATAGTGGTGATGAAAACTGTTTCAGTAGTAATTAGTTTTTGGAAGTATTGTTCATTGAAGAAGATAAAACAAAAATTTCCTTACAGAACAAGAAAAGGTATTAACCTAATTATATTGAACCCAGTTTCTAGTTTGTATACATAGGAACACAATTGATTATAATAGTTAGGCGATAAAGTACAGTATATTGGTATTGAAAGAGACAAAATAAAACGGCGTTAACAATTTCTTTTTTTATTTAATATTAGCAGATGTTTCAAAGTTAAAATTTCACACTCAAATTTCATTTTCTTAAATTTGAATGATAAGAAGAAATGAAGTAGAATAACTAAACCAAGCAGACAAGAAATAGTTTCACGATTACATTATACCACCGAAGTTTAGATTTTGTTCGAACCTCAGAACATAGTTGTATCTTTTCCCTATTGGTTTTGAATCAAAAGGGTTGTAAGTGTCTTCTAATGAATATTCATTTTCAATTTCTTCATCACCAAATAAAAAGTCCTCCACTTCTTCATAGTCAATAAAGTCATCAAGTTCATTAATTTCTTCTTCGGCTATACTATTTTGAAGGAATAATAACAACACAATTAATAAAAACATTATGAATTTTTAGATTTTTAGATTTGTTTTTAAACTTTTTTTGTATATTCACTTTATTATAGAATAGAAGATTGTTATAATAAAATAATGTTCAATGACAATAGAAAATACAACAGTAAGAGAAGATAGAGAGATAAAAAAAAAAGAAATATAAATAAACAAATAAGTGGACTAAAATAAATTGTTACTTTTATATAAAATATAATTCCAGAATATTACATTTAAATAAGTATTAGCACAATAAAGCAAGCAATGTTTGTTAATCAGAAACCGGTAACACAATACTAAAATTAATATATAGATAATATCAGTAATAATGATTAACAACCAACATTATTTCTTAATTAAATTTTTCATTTTTATTTTTTCAAAAAAAAGAAATAATGTCATTTTTTTATTTAAAAATAATATGATTAAGTTTACTTAGTACCATCAACCAGATTACTTCAATTATTGAAATTCTTTTACATATTTTGAAACATTAATTTATGGGTTTCAAGCTACTTTATGAAAAAATCAAAAATACTCTTCTAATTATTTTTTAAAATAATTAGGTAATTCACAAATATTCAAAATTTTCAATGATATTAATAGTTTACTATTTTAATAAAAATATAAAATTTTTATGTAATATAAAAACAATATATTAGAAAAAATCAAGAAAAGTATATTGATACAAATTAGTTGTTATAAAAAATAGATTAAAGACTTTTTGCTATAAATAATGGCCAATCAATGATTTTTAAGTTCTAAATAATTTATTAGAATTTTTATTAATTCAGAACTCACTTTCAGAAATGTAATATTTCGGGAAAATTAAAAGAAGAAACATTTTATTAATTGTTTCTAAATTAATAATGAAAATAACAATAAAAACTAAAAAAATAGTATACACGTTGATACTTAATGACGAACTAAGAATTGGGAAATCATATTATAATGAAATTCATTTTAGTTGCACTTTTGTGTTTGGCTTTTGTAAGTGCTATGGAACTTGAAGGTGACTATCAACTTGATAATGGATTTGACTTAAAAGAAGAAAATATTGATGACAATAATGATGAATATGAATTAGAAGATGATGAATATGAATTAGAAGATGAAGAAGAAGAAGAAGAAGATGATGATGAAGAAGATGAAGACGAAGACGAAGAAGATGATGATGATGAAGACGAAGAAGATGAAGAAGATGAAGACGAAGAAGATGATGAAGAAGAAGAAGATGATGATGATGAAGACGAAGAAGAAGATGATGAAGACGAAGAAGAAGATGATGAAGACGAAGAAGAAGATGATGATGAAGAAGAAGATGAAGAAGAAGATGAAGAAGAAGAAGATGAAGAAGATGAAGAAGATGAAGACGAAGAAGAAGATGATGAAGAAGAAGAAGAAGATGATGATGATGATGACGATGAAAGATGGAGAAGAAGAAGACACCACAGAAGACACTCACGAAGACGTTATAGAAAACATCCATGGAGACGCCATAGAAAACATCCATGGAGACGCCATAGAAAGCACTACAGAAGACACCCATGGAGACATCACAGAAAGCACCACAGAAGACACCCATGGAGACATCACAGAAAAGCTTCAAGAAGAAACCACAAGATCAACAGAAAACATGTAAACCGTAAGGCTAACAAACCAAGTAGAAGACATATTCATAGAAGAAACTCTCGTTATAGAAAGAATGTTCCAAAAAGAAGAAGAGCTAAAGCTATAAA